ATATATATATATATATATATTGATTATACCTTATAATAAAGTTTAATTTAACTTAACTACATTAAAGTTAACTACATTAGTTAATAGTTAACATGACCTACGATTGAACAATACTAAAATATTTATATACTAAGACATTAACTTTTACTGATATATTTTTAAGATCAAAATTTGTTAATATTAGTTAATGCACTGTGAACTATCATAAAGTAAGATCAAATGTATTTTTTATTCATTAACATTAACAAAGATTAGTTAGTGCTGTAAATATATATTGCTCACTTTTAGTTCATGTTCATGTTAGTTAGTACATGTTAACAAACGGGGCCTTACTGTAAAGTGTTACCGTTACTGGTATTACTATTTATTAGAAAATATAACTTGAATCATTTTTGCCGACAATCAAAATCACATAGTACAAACAACATGCAGAAAAAAAAATATATAAACAGACAATTATGAACATTTTTGACAATTTACAAGAAGGCATGATTAGATCAGGTAATGGGCAAATATTATACTCAATAATAATTCATATGTATAAACTTTTTACCTTGGAAAATGTGTTTCAAAATACATTTCAAAATAATGATTAAGATATATATAACTCTTATGGTTACATTTTTAGAGTCATTAAATGTAAATCTGAAATCATTTTAAAAACCATATGAAACCAACTTGAATACAAGAGAGATACATTTTTAAATGGTTTGTTCTTTTCTTTTTCATGCACGCACTTACTGTATAATCAGTGACATAACTACCTTAACCAGCCACACTTTTTTGGTCAACCAGATTCATTAGAAAGATCATGTTGGTTTACATGGCTAAACTGGTTCACCTATATATAAACAGACAATTATGAACATTTTTGACAATTTACAAGAAGGCATGATTAGATCAGGTAATGGGCAAATATTATACTCAATAATAATTCATATGTATAAACTTTTTACCTTGGAAAATGTATTTCAAAATACATTTCAAAATAATGATTAAGATATATATAACTCTTATGGTTACATTTTTAGAGTCATTAAATGTAAATCTGAAATCATTTTAAAAACCATATGAAACCAACTTGAATACAAGAGAGATACATTTTTAAATGGCTTGTTCTTTTCTTTTTCATGCACGCACTTACTGTATAATCAGTGACATAACTACCTTAACCAGCCACACTTTTTTGGTCAACCAGATTCATTAGAAAGATCATGTTGGTTTACATGGCTAAACTGGTTCACCAGCAGTAACCAGCATTAACTAAGTTCTCAGAACTTTGTCTAAAATTATGGCAAGGTTCTCTCAAAGTGATAAACAAATATTCTTCCAGTAACATTAATAGAATGTTTGTTTATATATTACTACTTGGTTCAGAATGTTAGAAACCATTTAAAAGTATGGTTGCCATAATGTTTGCAAATTGATAAAATGGAATGTTCCCTTAATATTCTTGAAAGTGTTTTTAAAACATTTTTTAAAAATTGCACGTTTGGAACGTTCAGAGAATGTTCGGAAATAATATTTTTATAATGTTAACAAAACACTCTTAGAACATATTTTTGTTAGCTGGGTAGGCCAGTTGATTTAAAAAGCTGTTTTTTTTCCAGCAGGATCTTCAAGCGTTGAACAACATCCATGAGTCTTGTTTTCAGAAATCATCACTGTATTTTTGCGTCAATAACTAAGTATTAAGGCAGTAGACCAAAGGTTAGACGTACCTGTTTGCACAGGGAGAACACGTAGACCGTCAAACTCCAGCATGGTGAATGTAGGGTCCAGGGTTATCCCATAGTCTGTTGCACTCAGGTCGAGTGAAGTCCCAGAGATCTTCATGGTAAAGTCAGGATTTGGCCTGTATCGGAGAATCAACAGCACACCGTAAAGCTCACCAGCGGTTCACTCAGCGGCCTGTTGAGTCCATCCGAGCTTATCAGTGCACTCTTGGATCTATCACTCTGCCGTTCCCTATCAATGGACTTCAAATGGTGGAATCACGTAGAGATCGTTGTTCTGCCATAGGTTCCCTGCACCCAGGAACTGCAGCGGAGCTCTTTGATTTGCTGAAATACAGTAATTATTGTCCAAGGCTCATCAGAGCTAGACTGATAGAGAGGCTGAGATTTTGCCAAATGTCTATGTGTTTGCTGTTCTCTTATCAGTGCAGAGGGAATCATAAAGGGGAGGGATCTGGACCAGGTAAACATGACTCAGTCTTCAGTGGGAAATAACATCAAGCTCATATTTATTGTTCAGTAACATTGCTTCGTTGGTTGATTTGCTTTATCTCAGCGATGCACCTTAAGGCCTGGGGCAATGAGTAGCACTGAGGCCTACGGCAGGATCACACGGTTGTCCCAGACGTAGTGTTAATTATATAAGTCTGCGAGGCGTTTTGGTGGCTGGATGCCCATCTTCTTGCTTCAGGAGAACAGCAAGTAGTTTTTATTTTTGAACTTTGCCCTTTTGCTATCAGGTCAGCGGTGCTATTGATCAAAGGCAGCATGATAACATGCTATTGCGTTACATTCCTGCTCTTTTGCCACATTCAAATTGTTTCACATTTCAAGTGATACAATAAGATCAACTTAAGCTCTTTCACCAGAGAATTGTATTAGCTATCAACACTATCAACAAGAACACCGCTGAGTGCCCCGCAAAACTATTTGGATATTTAAAGGTGCAGTCAGTAATTTTTTTGTTTATATTTATTTATTTTTCTCCAGAATAGTACGGGTAGATTTGGACTTTATTCTTACATCTGTTGGTCTTATTCAATAGTTGCTGTCAGTGTTGCCAGGTTTTGCTAGAGAAATAAAAAAAAAACAGAAAAAACAAGCCCAAAAAAAGCAACCCGGTCTGGGAAAACAAGCCAAAAATAAGCAACCTCTAGTTTTGGGTGGTGGGGCATATGCACATCATGCAATCTGCATAGGGAACCCCTATATGCACACTTTTGAAAGGGATTTTGTTCAAGTTTTCTATAAAGTTCTGGCATTTTTTTTTTTAAAAGTATGGTTGCCATAATGTTTGCAAATTGATAAAATGGAATGTTCCCTTAATATTCTTGAAAGTGTTTTTAAAACATTTTTTAAAAATTGCACGTTTGGAACGTTCAGAGAATGTTCGGAAATAATATTTTTATAATGTTAACAAAACACTCTTAGAACATATTTTTGTTAGCTGGGTAGGCCAGTTGATTTAAAAAGCTGTTTTTTTTCCCCAGCAGGATCTTCAAGCGTTGAACAACATCCATGAGTCTTGTTTTCAGAAATCATCACTGTATTTTTGCGTCAATAACTGAGTATTAAGGCAGTAGACCAAAGGTTAGACGTACCTGTTTGCACAGGGAGAACACGTAGACCGTCAAACTCCAGCATGGTGAATGTAGGGTCCAGGGTTATCCCATAGTCTGTTGCACTCAGGTCGAGTGAAGTCCCAGAGATCTTCATGGTAAAGTCAGGATTTGGCCTGTATCGGAGAATCAACAGCACACCGTAAAGCTCACCAGCGGTTCACTCAGCGGCCTGTTGAGTCCATCCGAGCTTATCAGTGCACTCTTGGATCTATCACTCTGCCGTTCCCTATCAATGGACTTCAAATGGTGGAATCACGTAGAGATCGTTGTTCTGCCATAGGTTCCCTGCACCCAGGAACTGCAGCGGAGCTCTTTGATTTGCTGAAATACAGTAATTATTGTCCAAGGCTCATCAGAGCTAGACTGATAGAGAGGCTGAGATTTTGCCAAATGTCTATGTGTTTGCTGTTCTCTTATCAGTGCAGAGGGAATCATAAAGGGGAGGGATCTGGACCAGGTAAACATGACTCAGTCTTCAGTGGGAAATAACATCAAGCTCATATTTATTGTTCAGTAACATTGCTTCGTTGGTTGATTTGCTTTATCTCAGCGATGCACCTTAAGGCCTGGGGCAATGAGTAGCACTGAGGCCTACGGCAGGATCACACGGTTGTCCCAGACGTAGTGTTAATTATATAAGTCTGCGAGGCGTTTTGGTGGCTGGATGCCCATCTTCTTGCTTCAGGAGAACAGCAAGTAGTTTTTATTTTTGAACTTTGCCCTTTTGCTATCAGGTCAGCGGTGCTATTGATCAAAGGCAGCATGATAACATGCTATTGCGTTACATTCCTGCTCTTTTGCCACATTCAAATTGTTTCACATTTCAAGTGATACAATAAGATCAACTTAAGCTCTTTCACCAGAGAATTGTATTAGCTATCAACACTATCAACAAGAACACCGCTGAGTGCCCCGCAAAACTATTTGGATATTTAAAGGTGCAGTCAGTAATTTTTTTGTTTATATTTATTTATTTTTCTCCAGAATAGTACGGGTAGATTTGGACTTTATTCTTACATCTGTTGGTCTTATTCAATAGTTGCTGTCAGTGTTGCCAGGTTTTGCTAGAGAAATAAAAAAAAAACGGAAAAAACAAGCCCAAAAAAAGCAACCCGGTCTGGGAAAACAAGCCAAAAATAAGCAACCTCTAGTTTTGGGTGGTGGGGCATATGCACATCATGCAATCTGCATAGGGAACCCCTATATGCACACTTTTGAAAGGGATTTTGTTCAAGTTTTCTATAAAGTTCTGGCATTTTTTTTCATTCCTTGAACCATTTCTAGCACCTTTCAATAAAAGTCCAATTCTCTTGATATGTTACTCTAGGACCAAACAACCATCTCATCACTGAATTTAAAATGGTGATTTTATTGTCTTATTATTGTCAAAATTCATAAGACATGTTAACTCCAACTGCTTTATTTTATTTTTTATTTTATTTTAATATATTTTTATTAACAATTTAATTTAATTTAATAATGAATACAATTTATTTATTTATTCATTATTCTTATTTTTTTAAGCAACTTCTTGAAAAAAAAACAAGCCCAAAGTTGCTTATAATAAGCAGACTTGGCAACATTGCTTGCTGCCCCTTCACACCAAAACAGTTTCTTAATCTTTTGTTTTATTCCTTTTTTTTCAGTCTTATGCTACACACATGCACATTTTTGGGTCAAATCTCAACAATTTGCAGCAGCTGTGTCCATTGAATATTCATGCTTTGTGCTCTGTGTTGCAGCATTGAGTTTGTAATAAATGTAATAAAACATAGTAATAAAAAACGTTGTCAGAACATTACTAACTGTATTTGTGTAAATCATAAAGCAGTGATTTCTGAATAGTATGATGGTATATGCTATTCAAAATTGCAAGACATTTTTTTATTAATGACTTTTATATTTCTTTTCTTTTTTTGTGATATTGTGCTCTATACAATATCTTCCCTAAGAATAACACAGGGATATTTCTATTCAGTCCCTTCACAAAATGATAACAATTTGTCATTGATGATAGCTTACAAAAAATATATTACATACATTTTCCCTAAAAATATTTAAAATATTTCTTATTCTTTCTTAAGTCTTTCTTATTCCCCTACTCAAAATAACTATTTAACAGATTATGAAATAAAAATAAAAAGGAGTACGACTGAATGTTGTCATTTTATTTGTACAAATTATAACAAATGATATGTCAGGCTGTATATTATTATTATTGTTTTTTTTAAAGAAAAAGATCCATCATGCTTTGATGTAATGGGATTTCCTTGCTCCTTCTCTAAATGTCAGGCTAGGCCGTGGGTCAGACCTCCCCCAACACACACACACACACACACACACGCCACGCTTTAGATGACTGATAGCTCATAAAAACCTGTCAGTCACAGCCCAACTGATCAGTGTGCCATGGTCCCCAAGAAAGTTATTGCTGCTTCATACTGAGAAACAAATAAGGATTTCAGAAGAGTTGGATTTCTAGGTTATTTGCATGACTAATCAGATTTATTTATTTTTTATTATTAGTCCATTTTTGGTAATTCTGTTTATTTTATTTAATTTTTTTCCTGAAATGGTTTTTGCATATGATCACTAGGTGGAGACAAAGTACAGAGTATACTTCAATATCACACTAACAGTTTTTTGAAGAGCACTTACAGAGCAAATGCCAGACCTAACACCATATGCAGCTCTTTATGGAGAAACATCACGAAACATGTCTTACCATTACAAGAAGAGAAAGTCTCCTGCAGATACCCAAGGTTCGGATTGCAGTGTTTTATTCTATGCCTTAAGTGACTAAAACAAGTGGCTCAGCTGTCTTAAATCTGAATGCGTATACAGCCAGTGTAAGGCTCTGTCAGTGCATCAGAATTTACTCCTCACAGGTGCACTAGAGGCAGCTCTACCTGTCTGCATGTGTGGACTGAAGAGTGATTGATGGGCGAGAGCAGCTGTATTTCAGACTCGGTGCCTGTGCAGTTTGGAAAGGTAAAATGTGGAGAGCAGCAAAATTGGACTTGGCTGTTGCTCAGTGCTGTCACAACCTTGCCTGTAATGCGGCTAGGGTTATTAACCAAACATAAATAAATGATGGCTCTGGTGCTTCATAGCAGCCTGGCATCTGAAACTTTTTCTTTTTCAAATCTTTTGTTTTGGTAGAGTCAAATGAAGTTATGCTTTTAAATAAATAGAGGCCAGGTCTGGGATATACACACACACACACACACACACGCACACACACACGCACGCACGCACGCACTCACTCATGCACGCACGCACGCACGCACACACACACACACACACACACACACACAAATCTCAGATTTATGCAAACCATTGGAATGAGCAGAGCTAGAGGTAATCAGGCAGTAGAAAGTATGATTGCACTATGGAGATGTATCATATCCATGCAACATATTTCACACAGACTGGAGTTAATTCAGCAAAAGCAATAGCTGAAATAATGCACTGTATGATTACTGGGGCATTTTCCTAATGGGAAAAATCTGAGTATAAAAGTACATGACCAGGAGGTACAGAATGAGAATTACTTTGTGGTATACAGGAAGATGATACATTGCACCATCTAGACATTAAGCGCTGCACAATTGAATTATCAACAGAATTGAACCACTCCAAATATTCACTTTATTAATTAGAGCATCAAGACTGTTAGTTGAAGGGGCTTAATGGTTTTTGTGCTTTCCATTTGCTACTATTTCAGTAATGAAGCTGCAGATTTTTCAGACCAATCATGTTTT